TTCCAAGAATATCAGATTTCCATGATAAAAAATACAAAGATCATTGCATATGGCACCATACCAGATCTGAAAATTCCAACCGCCGTGGCAAGGATTTACCTTACCAATATTGAGCTTAGTGGTACATTCACAAGTGGAGGTGTAATTTTAACATCCATTTTTATTTGGTCAATGATTTTGTTTTGATATAAGCACTAATATCAGTGCACTCAATATTGGACATTAGGACATTCTATGGCCTCACAGTCATCAACATTCACATTCATGACCTATATGTGAAAGTCTAATAGGCAGCAGATTATTAAAGACAGATTTCAGAGCATCTGTGATATTGGGATATAGGATGAGATAAGATGTTACTTACATTCTATGCTAAAATCTCTAAGAGAAATTTCACTAGGTAAACAAACAAAGTAAATATCTGAAAGAGGTGCTGAGACACTTGTCTTTGAGAAGCACTTCGGGTTTCTTTGGCACCGCCACGGCAGCAGTAGTGTAGCAGCATTGCCCTTGGTGCTGATTTCTTACCACTCTAAATGTCTCCTCTGAGCCAGAATACACTGGCTGTTGCTGATCATGCTGTGAGACACCTGCACTGGCTACTAGGCTTGTCATGACGCACAAAACCCTACCATCTTCAGCTTGACATTGTGCAAGTTATAATTATTCATCCAAATGAATATGTCAGAGCAGCAGCAGCAGACCTCTCATCAGAGCAAAAGAAAAATACATCAAAACATTATCAACCCAGCAGGAAGACAGGGACCATAAGGAAAATTACCCAATTTTAATATGGATGCCACAAAGCCACGTCTATTATTTTACAAAAAGAAAGGAAAATAAAGATCTTCCAAGTTTAAAGTCCAGAAACACTGAATCCAAAGAGGAAATGCACAACAGCAGATAAGGATTTTTTTTTCTCTTTTGTAAAATCAATTATCTGAAACCTATTTACAGCCTCTTAAATATAAGTTTACTATTAGATTACAATAGTGATATTTATGCTGCTTAAGACCCACAATTGTTTCAAAAAATAACTCCTACAAACAGAACTGTTTCCAAGCAGTCAATGAAAAAGAATCATACACAGCAAAGGAAGCTGATAATTGCTTCTTTCTTTCAAAACCTAAACCAATACTGCCAACACTATTATTATATCTAAAAGACTCAAGAGTTCAGAAGCATCATCAAAACACTTATAATTTAAAGCCAGACTCCAAAACAGAAAGTAAATATTTTTAAAAACTTTCTAAATTTTCAAGACATGTGTAAAAGAAAAATACTGAAATCACTCTCTGACCTTCACAAATACACCCACCTTCTATGCCCATACATAAAACAGGCAAATGTACACAGATTCTTATCTCATACTTAAAGAAATGTGAAAGAGAAACTTTCGGAACAAACAAGAGGAAAGTATCTTCTCAGATCAAAATACTGAAGGCTTCTAATCTGAGACACAAAAATCATAAACTACATGGAAGAGACTGATAAATGTGACCACATTAAAATTTAAACTTCTGTGTGGCAAAATATATCATATACAAAGTTAAAAGATGTACTACAGGAAGAAGATATTTACAACTCAATAACCAAAAAAGAGTTGTTGTTGTTGTTGTTATATGCCATTGAGTAGGACCCGACTCATAGCGACCCTCCGTGGGTTTCCGAGGCAGTGTCGCTACGGAAGTAGATTGCCCAACCTTCCTTCCGAGGAGTGGCTGGTGGGTTTGAACCTCCAGCCTTCTGGTTAACAGTCAAGTGCCTTAGGCACTACACTACCAAAAACCAGTAGGTATCAAAATATATAAAGAATGTTTATAATCAAAGGAAAATAAAAATTAAAAATAAAAAAGTAGGAAAGATTATGAATACAGTAATGATGTTTTATCAATTGTTGATAAGATTTAAAATCAGAATAATTAAGATCAGACTGAGATTTGGAAAGGATCTGTGAAAGTAGGAATAACTATGCATTTCTTGGTGGGAGTATAAATTTACACAACTTTGAGAAGGCAACAGGGCAATGTCCAGGGACTTTGAAGAGGGGCACTCTCTACAATCCAGCATTTTCACTTTTAGGTACAAGCCACAATAAAATTTTCACACATAACACACAAGAAAATGTTCACTGGAGTGTTGCAAATAATAGTAAGAAACTGTCTGCAAGCTTATCAAAAGGGCAACAGATAAATTGAGTGCTTGACTGACAGTGAGATAATATAGAGTATTTAAAATAAGTGTGCTAGACACATATAGGGCGTTCTGGTGGCACAGTGCCTAAGGCATCTAATTGCCAACCAGAAGGCTGGCAGTCCAAACCCACCAGCCACTCCTTGGGAGGAAGAGTGGGCAATCTACTTCTGTAGAGATACCGCCTCAGAAACAGAAAGAGGGGATGATATGAGTCGGAATCGACTCAATGGCAATGAGTTTGTTTTGTTTTGTTCTTTTAAGACACATATATATCATGGATAAATCTCAGAAACAATGCTGTTTTTTAAAAAAATCAGATTGCAAATGTTATAGAATAGAGTAAACACAAATGTAGCAAAATGTACATATATGCATGGACAGTATACACACCAATTTCAGGGAAGTGGTTACCCCTAGAAAGAGAAGGAAGGAAGAAAAGTAGAAAAGAAGAAGGGAAAGCAGGTTGGATCTTCCCTGTTCCTAATCAAAACCAAAAAACCAAAACTATCGTCAAGATGATAGAGACTCACAGTGACCCGATAAGACAGAGTACAAACTGCCCCACAGGGTTTCTACGGCTGTAAATCTTTTACGGAAGCAGACTGTCACACCATTCTCCCACGGAACAGCTCAAGGGTTTGAACTGCTGACCTTTTGGTTAGAAGGCAAATGCTTTAACCACTGCACCAGAGTTGAAGTAAATGCAGCAATATATTAACATCAGTCCAGTCTGAGTTGTAGCTACAAAGGAGTATTTATTCTTTGCTAAGAATATTTGCTATATTCTATAATTATAAAAGAGAAGTTATGAAATTACATTACTACTAATTAATTAAGTTTATTTAGATCCAGTACAATGCAGAAGACTTGTTGGGTGACCCAATTAAATCTAAAACTTGAGCTTAACATAAAAATTAATTTTTTGCATATATGACAAGGCACAGAGCTGATGTTAAATGTGTATACCAAATTTACAAGAAACTGCCCTCAAAGAATATCCAATGTAGCAGAGGAAGAGCTACAAATTAATTTTGTTAAATGGTACAATGAAGTAAGTACTAAATACTTTTAGGCAGAGATATAAATTTTTTCAAAGATTGAAGTCTGAGGGAAATTTACATAGTTATATAAGAAACACTAAGAAATTCATCAAAAATATATCCTTCAACTTGAAAGTGTGATAAAGTGTAACTTAGAGACAGTTTATCTGAGAAGAGTTATATAATCCAGGTATAAATATTTTCTCATGATATTACTTAAGGCACAAAGAACAAAGCTTACAGAACCAAATATAAAATGTATATATATAAAGAATGATTGTTTTCTTATATATAATTTAATGACTGTTTTAATTCATATATAATTTCAATTTTACTTTTTAAAGAACTCAACACAGTATTTTATATATTTACAACATATATCAAAATACTAAAAGCAAATCATAGGCTTTTCTCCTTCCTTTCTATTTTTCTGTATTTTTTGACATTTCCATTGGGGAAGAAAACTTAGGACATTTAGATTTTTACAAGACTACTTAAATTCTGTTAGGCATTTTTTAGAACCTATTCCACATACAAGACAATTACTTTATTCATACATGTTTGGAATGTAAGCATAAATTGTTACTGGAACCCAATCAAAATTTCTTAACAAAAAATCCAGGTAGTCTCTATTAGAGAATTTTTGTAAAGTGTCATTAGGGACTTTTTCTCTTTGCATAAGATTAGAAATGTTCTGTCCATTTTGTTATAAAATGCCACAAATGACTTGGTGAAAGGACGATGCTCATCATTATTAGAACCTGACTACCTTTCTGCCACATCTTCCAAAATCACACACACACACACAACACTGATGATGGCTAATAATCACACTATCTTACACCTATATAATATTACACTTTACAAAGAATATTATGTTACTATCTACATACATTCTCTTGCTAGATATCATAATGTACTGAGAATTTAAATCAATAATAGCAGGAGAAAGAACTTCCTATATCTTCACTCAAATAACAGTGTTCAAAAGCACACAAAAAAAGTAGTTTAAGAGTGAAACAAGATCTTAAAACAATATAAAACTGAATAAAAATAAAAGTATTTTCAATCATAACTCATTTTCTTCTGAAAAATATTCTCTGATAATAAGTCATCCATCCGTGTTGAGCTTTGGCAATATGTGAAATTTCACCCAATTCTCCACTTACTGCTCACTGCTTTATAATGACTTCTTCAGGATTTAAATTTAAAGGAAACTTTCTATCAAAAAAGTTTCCATATGTTTATCTAAAATGAAGGAGCTCTGGTAGCATAGTGCCTAAGGCACTTGACTGCTAACCAGAAGGCTGGCGGTTCAAACCCACCAGCCACTCCTCGGAAGGAAGGTTGGGCATTCCTACTTCCGTAGTAATACTGCCTCGGAAACCCAAGGAGGGGTCGCTATGAGTCGGGGCCGACTTGATGGCAAATAACAACAACAACAACAACATCTAAAATGAAGCAGAGAGATATGGATACTGGATGGGTACGGATATGTGAGTTTGTGAAAAGAGAAAGGTGTATATGTATGTGTGTGTGTGTGTGTGTGTTTATGTAGAGAGACAAACGCCATTAAGTACAAGGAAATAAAAAAGATGCATTCCAGACAGTCCACTTATACATACATGTAAAAAAAAAATTAAAAGAGAAAAATCACTTTATAAGGTATAATGACCACACACAAGTATATGAAACATACTTTTTGGTTAAAATAAGTAAGAATTTACCTGTGCACAATAAAAATTATTTTAAAAGAGAATATACCTGTGGTGTCCAAGAAACAGGAAATGGAACAGGAAAATCAACGAAACAATCTGGTGATTCTGCTGGATACTATAAAAGAAAGTATAAAATTAAGTCATTTTGCAATAATTTCATATGAGGTATTTTAGAAAAAAGAGTATGATCAGGAAAATTTTATTATAAATTCAAATATATAAAACATAACTTTGAATCTACTGTTATAGTGATGATACGAGCTCGGGAAGTATGCTCAGGAGGGACAAAGTTTGGTGACTTGGCAGTGGCAAGGCAGTCAGAGTTGAGAAAGACTAAGGAAGGAAGTCAGTGTCACATCAGCTGCCAACACTATGATTTGAGGGGTGAACCACTCTGAATCCCAGTTTTCTTTATCTTTCAGGTGAGAAGTCTATCCTTGTAGTTCTAAAGTTTAATCTCAATTGCTTCAGTCACCATTTAAACGGGCAATATTTGTTAAAAGAATCAAGGAATGCACAAAAATGAACACATACAACTATAAATTAAAAGAATGATTTTAATTTTTAAAACAGCTGTTTTTAGCAAGAAGATAAAAAAGAAACACTGAAATGTCTTCTGACTTATTAAGGAAAAACAAAAGTAATAGTTAGAAATACTTTTAAGGAAGAAAAACCTTTTCAAGGTTGGTAACCAGAAAATTAATTAGTTATACAGAAAGATTTAATCAAAAAGTAAATCTCTAATACAACCATGAGGATAAACCAGTTTCCTAAGTTAACAAACTCAAAAGGTAGTTTGTCTTAAAATCAATGTTCTCATTAGAGAATTGTACTAGTTAATTTTTTTAAAGTTCAATTTTAGATTTCTAGACAAGTCACATGTAATTTAAAAATACTCATTTTCCCACTAAAAAAGTTAAATTTACTGAAAGAAAGTAAGTTTTAGGAAAATATCTTTCTCTCATTTAACAAAATGCTCTAAGTAAGTTTTAGTTTTCACTTTTTCAGCCTCATATTCTTCAGTAATTTACTGGGTAGGCAAAAGAAGATCAAAAAAACAACTCATCACTACAGTATTTAAGAATCATCAGCCCTGGAAACAACTAGGTGCCTATCAACAGAAGACTGGATAACCAAACTATGGTACATATACACAATGAAATATTATGCAACCCTAAAGAATAACGCAGAATCTGCAAAACACTGCATAACACGGATGAACTTGGAGGACATTACACTGTGTGAAGTAAGTCAATCACAGAAGGACAAATATAGTTATTAGTCCACTACTGTAAAAAGACAGAAAGTTTATATATGGAATAAAACTTTCTTTTTTGGTTACCTAGGGTGGGAGGTGAGAGGAGGGAATACTGCTAGATACGTAGATACAAGTATTGATTTGGGTGAAAAGAAGGGCAATGTAGCAAATGTGAGTGAACAACATAGCAAATGTGAGTGAACAACACAGTGGCAATGAGGAAGAGGAAGACATAGAGTAGTGCATGGGAGGTACAGACAACAAAGATGAACCCTTATGTACATATAGTACTGTGGAAACAGTGATGACAAACATTGATCTACAGGTGGATAGATGGTGGACAGGCTGAATGGTCAGGTTTGTCTATAAGGGGGGAGTGTGTCCATGACCATGTATAGGGCTGGCAAACAATGTTTCTACAAGTGTATTTGTATGTGCTATCAGAATGGCCAGGTATATAGTAGAGCTGACAAGGGACAAGGTTATGGTGACTTCTTGGCCAAAGCTAGCTAAACAGAGGGAATGAGTAGTTGGACCTGTGGGCTCAGGACCATGGTCACAGGAGACATCAAGCTCATTGGCATAACATACTACACAAAAACACTGTTCCACATCATACTTTGGTGAGTAGCTACTGGGATCTTAAAAGCTTGCAAGCAGCCATCTAGGTGCAATGATGGGTCTCTCCTTACCCAGTGCAAAGAAGAATGAAGAAAACCAAAGGCACATGGAAACAATTAGTCCAAGTGACTGGTACACCATGCGATCCTCAGCCTATATGACCAGAAGACCAGAAGAAATAGATGGTGCCCCGATTACCACTGTCAACCACTCAGAGGGGAGTCTGTATAGGAGATCCTGGATAGAGTGGGAGAACAATGTGGAACAAAACTCAAAATCATTACAAAAAAAAAAAAAAAAAGACCAGTTTGCTGGTCTGATAGAACCTGGTGGAAGCCCTGAGACTATAGCCCCTAGCTGTGCCTCAGGACTGGAATTGAATCCATTCCTGTGGCTTCCAGCCAAATAATAGGCATATGGGCTGAACATTTACATTAGGTAGATACACTCCTTGGAGAGATCAATCATGGGAGAACAGAAGCACAGTGTATGCACAGGGAAAACAGCTCAGGGGGCAGGAGTGCATGGAGGGAAGGAGACAGGGAAGAAGTAATGACGGGGAGTATGGCAGTTAAGGTTGTGTGTCAACTTGGCTGGGCCTGGTTGAGTAGCTGGGCAGCTGGTGGTAGTTATTCCTCATGATGAGACTGGCAATCAGCTCCATGGTGGGATCTATCACAGGCAGCTGAGCAGCTAATTTAAGGATGTGGTCTGCTTCTCGTATATAAGCAGCGGCTTTGGGAATGGTCTCTAGCTTATGGCACACTTGAACCCTGCATGTAGCTGTGTCATTGTTCAGCAGCCTACTGTGCTCTGCCGACCTTGGGACTTTCAATGGACTTGAATGAATGGCCTGCCATGTGGTTTGGTAATATGGGGACTGTGCCTTTTTACTTGTCAACCTTGGACTTGTCAGTCTCAGCAGCCAGCAGCTGTCTGAGTGAAGAAAAGCATCTAGCTCAGTGGGCTGGGAGCAGGAGTCAGAGGTAAAGCCCAAGGTTGAGGGGCTTTCACCCCTCGCACTTTGAACTCAGACTTAAAGCCTCCAAATTGTAAGAATAAACTCCTGTTTGTTCAAGCCATCCCATCTGTGGTATTCCTGTTAGAGCAATACAAGGTAACCAAAAGAGGGAGAAAGTGGAAAGAGAACAATTACACTGTGGGAAACTACAGTCAATGTCATGAGACAAAATATGTATGAACTGCTGTATGGAAAATGAATTTGCTCTGTAAACTTTCACCCAAATCACAATAAAAATTTAAAAAAAAGAAAAATCAGCAGCCCATCTGAAGTTAATACTTTTAAAAGAATTAACATCTAACTTTATGATCACTTGGCTAAAAAGAAAATTATTATCAATGAACCCCTGACTAATAATAGCTTACCATGTAGAACTGATAACACAAAGGCAAATATACAAGAAACCATATAAAACTATTATATGCTTAATTCTAGAGGGAAGGGAAAGGGAGAAAAATCAGGCTGAGATTAAGGAAGGAACATTATTTTAAACAATTCAAAATATCAAACCATATACTTTAGTGTGTAACTGCTGCAATCACAGGAAAAACAACTTGTATGCTATTTTTATCTCATGTGATTATCTCAAAGTATATGCAGGCAGAGACTTAGGTTTTCTCTAGTTCCAGCTCTGCTAACTAGTTTCTGTGATCTTAGGACAAGTCATTTTTAACATCTCTGGCTGTTTCATACACAAAAATGATGAAATTCAACTAGAAGTGTTACAAAATCTCTTTTCCCATTAAAATTCTTTAAAAATAACAATGCACACTCAAAGCCTCCATAGGTGAAAAAATGTAAAATTCTGTTCACTTTCAAAAAAAAAGAAACTCACTGCTATTGAATTGATTCGACTCATAGTGATCCCTCCTTGGGTTTCCAAGGCAGTATCACTACATAAGTAGATTTGCCTAAACTTCCTTCCAAGGAGTGGCTGGTGGGTTTGAATTCCTTGGTTAACAGTCAAATAAATGGCTTAAGCACAATGCCACCAGAGCTCCCTTTAAGTTTGTGATAACCTAAAGGTTGGCAGTTTGAACCCACCCAGCAGTACCATGGATGAAGGGCTTGGTGATCTGCTTCCACTGGACAGCAATGTGTCTGGGTTTTGATTTGATGCTGACTATGAACACTATCAGGAGCTCTGGTAGCATAGTGGCTAAAGCACTTGACTGCTAACCAGAA